TCAAAAGCCTTTGCATAGCCAGTAAAACATCTTTCTTGTATTCTCTGCTTTCCGTCAAAATCCATCTGACATCAGCAATGATATCCCTTGTTCTAATCTTCTGAATCTTGCTTGAACCTTGGGCAGTTCCCTGTCAGTGCACTATTGTAGCCCATTTTGAGTACCTTTGGCATAATTTTACTTGCATGCAGTATTGATATTTTCTAATGATTTCTGCATTCTGTTGAGTCACCTGTCTTTGGAATGGGCACAAATATAGATACCTTCCAATCATTTGATCAGGTAACTGTCTTCCAAATTTCTTGGTATAGATGAGTGAGTGCCTTAAGTGCCCCATCAGTTTGTTGAAAAATTTCAATTTGTATTTCATCCATTTCTTGAACCTTGTTCTTTGCCAGTGCCTCAGTATACCTTGGACTTCTTTCTTCTGTATCATTGACTAAATGCAAAATTCCTGTTTCATATTCCTATTTCAAAGTTAGAACTAACTTGGAAGAAGTACAGCCAGAAAGCTTTTTAGAACTAATTTTGAAAAAGGAGTATGAAATTTATATTTTGTGGAATATATGTTTTGATTCTTTAAAAGCAAGCCAAGCTATGATTTTTTGTATTTTGTTTTGCTGTGTACAGGAGTTAAAGCCTCTTTTCATTTTGTACCTGTACTTCAAATAAATTGAATTTAAAGTTTAAGCACTTCCTCTTCTGTATTTGGACTTAAGGACATAGAAAATAACAGATTTTTTTTTTTAAATGTATTTTCTTGTGTTTTCATTGAAAGTTAATATAACTAATTACATTCCTGTGTAATAATTATGATCCAAATTCTTCATTGACATTGATTATATCTTTTACCATGTATTAATAGTCTCAGTTCCATTGTGTGGGCGTTTCAATTCCAGTAGCTTGGTTATCCTCACTTTATTCTTTCATCTTTGCTTTAGAGTAATTATTAGTTTTGATCAGTCTCATTTAGTGTTTTTTTTTTTTTTTTTTTAAGAAATGATGTATGGTACTCATGGGTACTGTTCTTTATTTTATTAATTAATCTGTTATTTATTTATCTATTTAGTTGCTGGTGTGGCACTGTAGGATCAGCACTGGACTGCAAACCACAAGGGCAGCAGTTCAAACCCACCAGCTCCTGTTGTGAAACCCTATACAGGGTCACTCTGAGTTGGAACTGACTGAATGGCACTTAACATTAGCAGCAACAATCTTTTGTTTGCTAGAAGGGTGACCTCTTAGGGTAGGTTTGGTTCAAGGTTTAAGGAGTGCATTTTAGAGTGATATTTTTGGAGTTCTCTAGTCTTAATGGCTGTAGTAAATCTGGACTTTTTAAGAATTTGAATTCTGCTCCACAGGTCTCTCTCACTCTGTCAGAATCTCTCTATTGTGGTCCTGATCAGAAGGGTTGTTAGTGATAGCTGGGTACCATCTAATTCTTCTGTGGATGAGGCAGTGTTTCTTGTAGACTCTTAGTCTTGTAGACTAGTTTTTCTTCTACTTACTAAATCTGTATGCT